ACACACACACACACACACACACACACACATACATACACACGCGCACGAAAACAATATATTGAGCGTGCACCGATGATAAGGTCTTCGTATTATAGCATACCCTTTGTGGCTATTGAGCAGACTACTACATCGCGAGTTGGCTCGGCATTTCATGAATAGGAATTTGGGCAGTTTAGAATTAAAATGTATCTTTTGGAATGGAACTCTTTCCGTCTCTTTTTCACCTCCTACGTGTCGCCTTCCTCCTCTTGTTTTCAGTTTTACATTCAGTTCCCAGAGAAAGCCACCAGCGCATTCGATTAGTTACAAAAGAAGATTTTTCTTCGGTAAGCTATGGCTTATTTTCGGTAAGCTATGGCTTATTTTCGTTGTCGTTTCGGTCACTTTTCTTAAGACAACCATATAAATAACCATTTTTCAAAACGTAATCAAGTGTTCCGTTGAAAGCAGATGAAGAATATTAACTTCCTCTTCACCACTAGTCCTCACGCATACATCTGTCTGTCCCCATTCATATAGCATAATGAAAAGTGTATGTGTTTTCTCAGAGCGCAAAAGCACAACGTTTCTGCTATAACAAAATATGACCAAGGTCGCTGGTGCATGCAAGACTGCAGTTACTGCTGCCAAGTTTATAATTTTCTTGTAGTAATATGCATGTACTGTCTTCTGCATGGGTGTTTGGTGAAGGGCCTTTTTAATAGGCACCTTTTCACCGAAACATCCTAGTGATCTGCAATTAAAGTAAAACCTCCTCTCCCCTGACCCCCACCCCACCACACGCCTATATGCACCCCACAAGCACAGTTAACTATTTCATGTACCTGTAAAACTTAGCACCAACTAAACTGTGACACCTCCGCCCCCCCCCCCAAAAAAAAACCACCAGCACCCTGTCAGTTCGGGAAGGAAAGGAAGGGGGGAGGGTCGAAGTCAGAAGTAACTTTTTTTTCGAATCAGCACCTTACGCCTACTTTCGGTACTCACCCTGACATCTTTGTGACTCTTCATCTAGAGTGTAGCCTGTACCACAGTGGCGCTCACGTCTGCACGTGTAGGAGCCTACAGTGTTCTCACAGCGCTCCCCCGGGCCACACGAGTCGATGCCCAGACCACACTCGTTTAAGTCTGGGAAGGGTCAGGGGATGAAATATAATATGATGACTTTTGAAATAGAAAGCGGAAGAAAAGAAAGGAAAAACAATTCCCATTTCTTCCTAAATTTTCACCCCCCCCCCCCCTCGTTGCATTTTACTTTCATTCGTATAATCTTTGGTCAAATATAATATTATGTAGGTCCTATTATTCAGGCCCCTTAAAAAATATAATTATTTATCAGTCTTTTCCTAGAGAACACTGTGTGTGTTGAAAAAATTGGGTGAGGAAGGAATTGCTATTTATTCATTGCACATTATTCCAGAGTCCACAAATTTTAATTATTTTTTTCTGTTATATAAAAAAAAATCTGAGACTAGTACATCATTATATAATATCTGTTGTCCAAGACGACAGCACACTAACGAAGTGAAAAGTGGTCATATTATACAGGTGGACCTCTTAAACAGTGTCACTGCAATAATATAGAAAACGCAAGGGGGTTGGACAGGTAAAATTGTTAGAGAAGGCTCGACAGTACTTAGTCTAAAACAGCCGTATGCACTGCTCACAGCCGAACGCTCTGTATCCGGACTCGATCATGGAGATCATCAGGAGAGAATGCGTCACTGTTTCGTGCTCTTCCTCTCTACACCTTTCCTGACGCACCGAGCCCCCTAACCGATGTGATGTCTCCATGCTAGTCCGACTGTTTTCCTCTGCTGCCAACTCTTTGGATTCATTCCAGCCTGCGTCCTCTTGCTTCAACAACATTCAGTGACTGACTTTCTCTACTGTCTCCTGAAGGGAGTTTATGAGTTCGTTACTTTTCTTAGCAGTAAGTCCTGCCACTCTCATCCACTTGCGGACGCTAGTTGCTACGAAACCGCTGCATCCTACCTCTACGGGAAATGTGTACCTACCTTCGCAGCGACCAGTTTTCGGGCTGTATTTGAACCCGAGGGCGCACTGCTCCTTTCCTGGCTTACAGCGACCCGTGCTGGGGTCAAGGTCATAGCCGGCTGGACAGGTGGAGGACATGCAGGTGAAGCGACCAGGTGTGTTCACGCAGATCTGGCTCGGGGCGCAATGGGCCAGGTTCTCGGCGCACTCGTCGATGTCTATATGGGGGAACATTGGACACGGTTGTCAGTCAGAAGTTTAAGTTGGGTTATTTGGGGGGG